GTTTATGGGGGTTCAGGGTTTAGGGTCTAGGGTACTTCTTCCCGCCCCAAAACCCCAGCCATTCCTAAGCCCCGAAAGCCTTAAATCCGGCGCTAAACCTTAAACCCTAAACCCTAAACCCTAAACCCTCCGGCGCTAAACCTTAAACCCAAAGATCCGACCCTGAACTCTTGAAGGCCTACACTCCGACTAAATTCCAAACAACCCACTTTTTTTGAAGGACGACAAACCGGAAATGAACCTCAAAAAGGTAGGTTCTTTGAGGGTTCAGGGAAACCCCAAACCCTAAACGGGATCCAAAGTACCGATATGGTAGAATGTAGGGTTTCTATACGATTTAGGGAAGTATCCCCCATAACAGTACATAGGACCCTTTGGGACCCTAAACGGGATCCTGTAAGCAGGCAGACGCCGATCCGAATCTGCCGGATGCCTTGGGACGCACGGCGCTCCACGCGATTTGCCAGCGGCTTCTCCGCATATGTTTGAAGACTTAGGGTCCCTTCAGGGGTTTAGGGTCCCTTTTAGGTTCCTTATTGCCAGGGTTCCGCCTTTTTTCGGGTTCCGAAAAAGGAACCCTAATGTCGAGAACACGCCACAAGTTGAGGAGGGAAGCTACATCACAGCTCACAACGCAGATGGGAGGGCTACCGACGAAGTAGTGCCATCGTTGAACAGAGGGTTCCTGATAGAATCGTTGGCTGTAAGGGTTTAGGGCTTACAGATAGCATTGGTGCATATATCCAATATTGAGAAGCTTGTTAAGTTATTCTGTCATCACTGATGTCGACATCGTCATTCTCGTAGTGGAGCTCTCCTCACTTCACCCACAGTATACAGCTAAGCCTGCCTTCTCCAGAGTATGAACTTCTCATCGACTGACATCATTTAGCTATAAAGAATATACACGAAAATCATCTTAGGGGTCCCATCATAATTCGAGGTATACCCTAAACCCTAGATAATCCTTGATTCGGAGGATAGTGAAGATCTGGGAATATCTCATCGCCTAGTATCGCTTGTCTGAGCCCAAGCCACTATCCCAGAGGGCCCTATGTCTCGGTTTAGGGCTCTTTTAATTGTAATGGGGATACTTCCCTAAGTCATAATAGCAATTCCTAACAAAAAAGCCCTACATTCTACAGTATTGGTACATGGTACATAGGGCCCTTTGGGTATGAGCCCCAAGCAGCCCCAAAACCGTAAACTTCGACGTTCTGAAACTCTCTTTCTTGGAGCGCTCTACTACACGAGCCTATAAAACGCCAATACAAGGCCGTCTTTGGTGGGGTTCACTACGTGATCTTCGGTTTAGGGTTTAGGACTTGGGGCTTCGGGTTTAGACTTGGGTTTAGGGTTTAGGGTCAAAGATTTCGAGCCCCTTACTTTACAGCCCAACAGCCCCGACTGGACCTACCGTGCCGATTGGTCCTAGTTTGTCGATTTGTTTGCTGGCGGTTACCTTCTAGTGCTTATTCTATACACTGACCGACGGCGTTAGAGTCATTCTAACGTGATGGAAACCCCTAAACCCTAAACCCTCATTGCTTTGAAGCACTGGATGTTAGTCACTCACGGTGTTGTTCTGGAGCCGGCCAAGGTGGAGTGGCAGCGCTGCACTGGCACGGCGCCTGGTCAACGCCAGAGCAGACGTTACAGCAAGGGCCAGCGCGGGCCCGCTGAAAGGGAAGACGCCGGCAGAGCTGCTGTTGGCTGAGGCGACGTCTGGGGTTCAAATCTTCTGAGTTTTTTGGGTTTCCAAGTCTTCAGGCATTTTTGGAAGTTCCCGGTCATTGGCCGTCGGCCTTCGCAGCATTCTTCAGAGTAGTCTCGCATCGCAATTTGGGACGTTAGTGGAGGGGTCGGCGTGTTCAACTGCCTTGTCCAGTTGATGCTGATCTGTGGTGTTCGTCCAGGACGAATCTACCGCAAGCTATGTATGGTACACCCCAATAAACCCTACCTGACCCCCAAAGTAGGTAAGATAATATTCTTTTATAGGGTTTGGGCCATTATTGAACCTACTTTTGAGGGTTTAGGTAAACCCTAAACCCCTAAACCCTCAACCGCCACTCTTCTAGAGCTCGGAGCGACCCGGGACCGAGGTATGCTGAACAGCACAGTGGTTCTTGTGCAAAGTAGGTTTAGGGTTTAGGGTTTAGGGTTGAGGGTTGTATGTAGGAGTTTCGGGCTTTGGATTCGCCGGAAGAAGTGAAACCCTAAACCCTCCAGCCCTAATATAGGGGCCTATAAATAATTACCTATACTATTTTGGGGGGTTCCTTATTATAAGCATAGTATAATGGCCTGAAAACCCTATTCTAATCATTAAGGCCCCTACATTAAACCCTAAACCTTACAAGCTTAAACAAACCCAGCAGCTTTCGAGAGCGTGCATGGACTTGCTGGCTTCCTCATTCGGTCGAGGCTTTTGTGTACATGGTTCTATTGTGCCCAGAACCAGAACTCTAAGGGTCCATGTGCCCAACTAGTACTTTGGCCTTAAAAGTAGTCCCTGTTTGGGTATTTCGGAGCCGAAGTATATAATATAGGGCCTTAATAATTACGTACACTCTTTTTGTTTTCTTTTTTTGGAGGTCCTCAGTATACTTATAGTGTAAAGTAATATACCCCAAAACCTCTTTCAAATTATTAAGGCCTCTACATTACTATATGGGCACAGGGACCGTTTGGGTTAGTAAGGGCAGAAAGATGGAAACAGAAGGCTAACCACAAGACCTTGGTAATGTAGAAGCCTTAATAAGTAGAATCGGGTTTGGGGGCATCTTATCCTATACTTATTATCAGGAACATCCCCCCCCAAACACTATTGGTAATTATTGAGTTTCTATAGTAGGCCCTACAGCAGTGTCTTTAGCGCGTTGTATGGCGCGCTACAAAGGCCCTCCAGAAAGAGCGGTTTAGGGTTTAGGGTTTCCGCTGCCAGCGAAGCTCTGACATCGGAAATCCCGAAGCCACATGCCTTAAATCCCCTAAACCTTACCCCACTTTAGCCCACATGCCTTAGATCCTAAACTTTCCCGCAATGTGTTAGATACTGAAATCCCAAACCCTGAAACCCTATGTTCTGAAGCGAATCCCTAAACCCCAAAACCCCAAAACCCTAAACCCTAAACCCTAAACCCTAAATCCTAAATCCCTAAACCCCAAGCATCCCCAACGGCGAAACCCTAAAAGCTAAAGCTCAAGCCCTGCAGGACACTATCAAGCTTGAGCACCTCAATCGGGGCCTCACAGAGAGATCCTCTGCATCGAAGGAGCCGGCGCGTGTGGTGAGTTTAGGGTTTAGGGTTTAGGGTTTAGGGTTTCCTGTTCATACGATTACTTAGGGTTCGCATGCCTTATATTCTAACTGTATACCCTAAACAATCAAGAATAATGGTGCTCCACATGCAGGCCTCTGCATCACGGGCTTCAGGGCTTTAGTCAGCTGGGCTCTGAGGTTGTTTAAGCTTACGGTTTTCTGGGACCACGGTTTGCAGCTTTTGTTTGGTTTTAGGGTTCAGGGCTTAGGGTATTATAGAGTTTAGGGCTTAGGGCGTAGAGTTCAGCGTTTAGAGTTGAAGGTTCACAGCTGAGGGCTTTGAGTCTAGAGTTTGGGGCTAAGGACCTAGGGCTTCGGGTTGAGGGCTCATAGGGTTCCTTTAAGGGTTCATTTGGTTCCTTTCAGGGTTCCTTTCAGGATTCCTTTTAAGGGATCTGTAGGGTTTAGAGTTGACAGGCTGGGGCGCGAGGGCTTCGCGACAGCAGGGTTCGAAGCTTCGGGCCCCAGGCCATGGGCTCACATGGATGGTGTCTGTATACGAATATACTGTCATATACTGTATGTAATGTATGTATGTATGTATGTATGTATGTATGTATGTATGTATGTATGTATGTATGTATGTATGTATGAATGCATGTGCGTATGTAGGTGTGTGTGTATATATATATATATATGGTATATGTATATGTACATGTGTGTATATAT